CCGGACTAGTTGTTGTAAGTGAGTCTACGGGTTCGGGGGTTCGAGTTCAGCTCGGCCCGACGTTGTTGTGTCTAAAGTATGAATGCATTTTACACGATTGTTTTTTCTTTCACTTGGCTCGGTTCTATCAGAGATGAACGTTAAATTTGAAGGTCCAACCTCTTTAAGAATATAAGCTTACAGTGTTGTAAGGGGCGTTTAGCGTATACAATTTCATCTTTGTGCGTCCGTTGATCCGCCCCCTACCCCCACCTCGATCCCACCCCCTTAATGTCTTTTTTGCTTCTAACTGATATAGGGAGGAGGTGCACCCCCTCCCCTTTCCTCCTTTTTCGAACGGGGAATCACCACAACAGTGCACCCTCCTCCCTCCACCCAACCCCCTTTTTCAACAGTGAATCGCCACTCGTAAACAATCTCTCTTGTCTGTTGCGCAGTTATTGTGTCCTTCGCTGTTGAAATGGCCTCTCTGTGTCAAGTAGGGCGATGGACTCCCTCCAAAATATATGTGTCCATGTACAGTCTCACTTTTTTCTTTCCTCGCCGTTCGTTCAATCTCTCCATTGTGGGGGGCATTGCGCTTCCATTTCCATTTGGCTTTTCTCCTTCATAGATTGGAAGCTTTTTGTATTCTCAATTTCCTTTCCTTCCTGTTGGGCGTGAAGCCTTTCTGTTGTTGACAGCTGAAGATGTCCGTATTTCTTTTTCTTTCTTTCTTTTTTTTTTTTAAATTGTCGTTTGTTTTTTCTCTGCCTCGTTCCATTTTCCTGCCCGAGTTCATGCAGAGGTGGTTATTTCGGTTCGTTGTCCTCTTGTTGTTCTGTTGTTGCTGCTTCTTTTATTTTTTAATCATTTTTTTTGGGTCGTCATTTTGTTATTGTAAACACAAGAACAAAGTCAAATTATTATTTTCATGCTGTAGATCTATGTGTACATTGTATTCATCATGTCCTCGCCTGCATGTGGTCTTACTTCCTTTCCAGGATTAGAAATGATTTATATTCTCTCTGGTGTTTACGTTTCTTTGATATTGATTTTCATTTTAAAAAAAATACGAACGAGGAAGTCGGTAGAAACCAGGTCACTGCTTTCGTTTACATTATTCTACTTTTCTGCATTTGTTTGGTGTTTTTGGTTGTTTTTATCCTGCTTCTTTTGCATCAGTTCATCGATATGTTAGGTTTATGCCTTGATTCTTTTGACGAAGTTGACTGGAGTCCTTTATGTCTTGCCTTTTCCTTCATTGATTGATAGATACATGTCGAGTTTGTCTTAGTTGGTTGATATATTTTGACACCTTTTCAATAGTTGATTGGTATCCCCGGGTTTTATTTTGACTTTTGGCCTTCATTTGATTGATATATCAGGTTTATTTTTTATTTTTTTTTTTCTTGATTGATATCTTGGGGTTATAAATTGGCTTCTCTAGTTTTGTTGATTGGTTGATTGGTGTCTTTGGTTTAGGCCTGTGTTTTGATTTCTCTGCTTTATTGATTGATACCTTTGGTTTATATCTTGATTTCTCTGCTTTAGCTGATCGATGTCTTGGGTTTATATCTTGCTACTACTTCTTCATTGGTGTTATTATCTTGGTTTACAGATAATTAATATGAGATTACAACAACAACAACAACAACAACAACAGAAAATTAAATTTTAAAAAAAATTAAGAGAGAAAAAAATAAAATAAAAACCCATTGAAATTTGCTGGTGACGTGCCTGGTGTCGTCCTCTCCCACAGCTGAACCGCAAGGTGTACCTGGGCCTGTACGACAGCCGCTCCTGGCCCGAGCCCGACTCGCGGGACGAGCAGCGCGTGCGCGACTACATGGTGCAGAAGTACGAGAACAAGCGCTACTACGTGGCCCCAACCGACGCCATGAAGGAGGACACCAAGCGCGCCAACGAGGCGGCGCTCAACTCCAAGCC